CCGACCCTGTCCTTCGCAGCGCTGCAGAAGGACCTGGACAGCAAGCTCTTCGGGCAGCACCTCGCCAAGAAGGTCGTCCTGAGCGCCGTGTCCGGCTTCCTGAGCAACCCGAAGCCCAAGAAGCCCCTGACCCTGTCCCTGCACGGGTGGACGGGCACCGGCAAGAACTTCGTCAGCAAGATCATCGCGGAGAACATCTACGAGGGCGGGCTGAACAGTGACTACGTGCACCTGTTCGTGGCCACGCTGCACTTCCCGCACGCCTCCAACATCACCCTATACAAGGCAGGCGCCACCGTGCCGAGGGTCCCTGGGGTGAGGGGTGGGATTTGGGAACACGGTGTTGACAGGAAAATGAGCCTGAATATGGCTCCATGTGTCACTTCCTCATTTCTGTTTTGCTTATTTCTTTGAGGCAGTAACTCCCTATGTAGTCCAGGATAGAGATCGTCCTGCCTCAGCCTCCCAAGTGCTTGTGCGCCAGCTCGCCTAACAGTAAATCCCCTTTGAAATGTGTGCACCCGACGGAGGGTTTGAGATCCACGGGACGATACCAGCAGACCTTGTGGCAGTTCCTGAAACTAAACCCAGTAGCACTTGCTTTAGCTTTACTAAGTGAGGTTGTTGAGCTTCAGGGCTCAACGTGATCAACTCTGGGTTAAAGATCAAGTCTTGACAGGCACGGTGGTACACGTGGGAGGCTGAAGCAGGAGGACTGCTGTGAGTTCAAGGTGAGCTCAAGGCCAGCCTGATACATAGCGAACAGATCAAGCTCACTCATTTTGTGGCAGAGGAAGCATTTCTGGAGGCCCAGGGTGCTGTGACTTTAACTGCTCAAACTGCTTTTGTACTTAACTCGCTGACAGCGCAGGCTCTGGCTGCGGACTCACCTGGATTAGGGTTCCCACCGCTGTGCAGCCTGAGGGAAGTAGCCTGCCCTCTCTGAGGAGGAGCAGCTCCCTCAGGAAACGTCCCTCTGTAACAGAGTATCCGTGTGAGCTTCAGTTGCCAAGTGTTGCCTTTTAAGACCCTGTGGGAAACCTAGCCCTCACCTGTGTGGATGAATTCTTCCCTTCTGCCGGAGGAGCAGAACCAGGGTGGCCAACCGTCTGCGGTTCCCAGGTCCTCGACTTTTCCAGCTGACACTGGGCACGTCCCAGGCACCTAGGGTGAATGGGCCTCTGGTGCGGAACAGGGCTTGGGCGGGTCTGTACCTCAGTTGTCTCTGTCAGAAAGGGAGCGCTCGGGCTTACTCCCTTGATGGCTTTTTTCCGTTTGGTGGTTTTCTGAGACAGGGTCTTCTCTAGCCCAGGCTGGCCTCAGACTTGCGGGGATCCTCCTGCCTCAGCCCCCAGGGACTGGGGTGACCGGCAGGCGCCACCATGCCCAGCCCGCCTGGGTTTGGAGAGCGGCAGTGCAGCGTTAGGGGCAGTTCTTGGGCCGCTGTCCCACCCTCGCCCGCCCCCTGCCTCTGTCCCCGGTGCTGGCAGGGTGAGAGGACGCAGTGACCCCTGCGAGCTCTCCAGGCTTCTGCTTCCCGGAGTCCCTGCTCAGATTCTACCTGCAGGGAGCTTTTGTCGCCATGGTCACAGTGGCCCGTGGAGAAGCTAAAACAGCCTGACACTGGGACGCTGGGGTCATTTTTAGAAAACAGCGAATTTCCCACCCTGATGGGC